TAGGCCAATGCGTTGGATCAGCTTCGTACGAAGTCGATAAAGGAGGATGGTCTGGCTGACGTCCGGCAAGTCCAGTGTGATTTTGAGTAGCTCTGACGCATGAGAAACTAGCACGTCGCGGGAAACTATCTTGCAGATATTCGCCAAGGCGCGAAGACAGCCGGCCACGTGCATCTGGCCATGGTGCGATCCATCTAGGAAAAAGCAAGATGACAGATTGGGACAAGTAGTATTGCCTACCGTCAATTTACATCATAAGAAAATGCTTATCGGCTTCATTTAAGATCCAGTGTCCCGGAGAAGTCCACTTTTTAGACACACGCCTATGTGGGATAAACCATATTGTTGGTTTGCGTCAACGACGTAATGTGAAAACCGGGGGCTACTTTAATGCTGCGACAATCTGCGGACGCGCATATAAGAGTACATTCCATCGTGTGGACAAACAGCAATGAAGGAACAAAGACCTAACGAGTGGAGGTGTCGGTAATAACACTATCGTCTATCACCACTGGAATTTAGTTCGCATTGTGTGGCACTAAGTCAAATCAGACGCGACAACCCAAACTGCATACTTTCATGTAGAATGACAAAACCAAGCAAACACCGGTGGACGAGGGAGTATTCACAAAACGTACGATAATGGAGTGATGATAGTAATGACGGTATCCAAGAATTTTGCGAAACAATAGGGGCTGGTCAACAAAGGATAGCCCTGGTGGTAGAGACACATGACTATACGGACCTGATCATCTTTAAAATATTGCTTGTAGTCCGGGTGTCATAGTTAATTAGAGTATAGTTGGGAGTTATGAATCGTAGTCGAAGTGCCCTGCAGGACACATACCTCCACAGTGTTACTGGCCAAAGTAGGACATCCCCAAAGACAAGTGGTTCTGGCGCTAACAGCAGCTTGACCATGGCGCTAGGCAGACACTTCTTCGGCGACGTCCATGAGAACGCATTGATCAGTGTGCTCCAGATTACACCAGTTTTTTACGACTAATGGAGGTCGCAGGCGACTTTTGTCAACGCCAGAAAGAGAAAAATGATTCGAGATGGACAAACGGTATCTTATGCCAAAATCAGGATCCCAGGGACGGCCTATAGATGGTCTTTTAGGAAGACGCCCTCTGAAGGACATGGAGTTTAAGCCATAGCAGTCCTCAGACGCGCCTGGTCTGGACAACTTTTACTACTATTGAGAAAACAATGTGTGGCAACGTAAGCACGGGACTGGAAGGGCACGATTGGACGAGTATGTAACTGGGTTTGTTTTCAACGAGGCTATTGTCTGAGCAGCCGATAGCCAGATGGCCCGTGTCGTGGAAATAGACGGTAGATGTAACGAACATGCGTAGTAAGGTCGAAAATTTACTAAACGCTCCCAAAATCTGAGCGGCTGAGGACCCGTCCCGTAGGAGAACAACACCCCAATGTTCGAAAATCCTAGTGTCTAATTACAGAAAAGGAGTATCGGTTCGACTGCTGTCTGAAGTTTGCTGCATTGATGTGTCATCGTAATGTTCCCCACACTCTTACTCTTCCACGGACGCTTTCACACCAGACTTAGCGGACCTTCAGTCTATTTTGGGCTATCCATGTCTTCGTGAAAAACAATCAAACGGAAGCATTGATGAAGGCGCTTTTTTTTGGGGGGGGCTCCTGTACGCATGTGGAATGTCTGAAAGTCTCCTGTGAAGTGAACGCAAACCCTTGTAGCCCTACACTGATCCTCTGGCGACATCTGCGCCACTTTTTGAGGGGTATGACGATGCTGAGGTCCGAAGTTAGAGACCTAAATGCTTGTTTTTCCTTAGGTGATAGTTAGTCGCCGTTTTCTCGCAAAAGGACGATAGCGACATAGTTGCCTGTGCGAGCGCGCCTCTCTAGCAATTCAGGTCTGAAATCCGCTTGTCAGAATTTCAACCATTTAAGGAGAAAATTTAACTCGGTTGGGGAAATACTTTGTTTGCATAGAGGTATAAATATTGTGTAACTAGCCCTTTGGTTGGTTTGCCTAGTAATAAACAGCAGTTTCTAACGAAGAAATGGTTGTTTTCTCTCTTCGGGTCCGTCAAAGAAGCGGCCATTCTTTTCAACTCCCTCGATAATGTTTGGTAAAACAGTGAAATATTGTAGATTCGGAAGTTGTCAGCTAGGGTTTTTTATCTACGTTGCTGTATGCGAGCAAGGGAAATAACGAAACTTAAGCTGCGCCATCCACAATTATGTGCATGCTAGCATTCCGATCTTGATGACAACAAATATGGGGGGTTAACTGCCCACATGATATCGTTTTCCCTACTGTCACCCTTTTGTAGATTCTGGTAAGCATGGGCGCGCGGCGATTAAAGATACCTCATAACTGTGATCGTAAGAATCTCAAGTTGAAGTTATGGGAACGGATGACACCTCCGGATTCAGAACTTCAGTCAATAATTTTTGAACTGTTTGCAAAGGCCGATTGTCAAACAAAACGACTGGGATGGCTGTTGGTATTCTTAACAGTAAAGAATAAAGGGACAAAAATTGTCATTTAGTTTTAGGGTCGGCTGTTTTGAAGGGTTTGAAGATTTTCAGGCAAGTTTCTGATTTTCAAAGTTTTCTGTTTCCTAACTTTATCACCGGAATGCTTACAGATGCAGTTACGAGACAAATGACCTATTCCTCGCAATAGGTATTTCAAGGTGGGTAAAATGAACAAAGGTTAAGTTCTGCAATTAACTCGAGGACGTAGTATTCAAACGCAGACGAGAAACAGCGCATCCGTCGCATCCCAAGTTTCCTTGGGAGTTCAGAACACACTCCTTTAACAAATACTTCAAAGTATCTGGTTCCACAGTTGGACCGCAATCTTCCCAGACTTTTAAATTCCATTCAGATTGAGTTTATCTAGTAATCAATAGATGCGCTGAATCACTACAGTTCAAAATAAGGAACTTACAATCCGCAGATGCTAATTCATTGGCCGCCCAGGAAATAATACTTCCGAGTTCTGTCGGGTGCACATCAGGCCTTGAAATGAACTTAGCGATTAAATATGCTGCAGCCTCCTGCGTCACTTCATCTAGTACCACGTGCCGTTTGGCTTCCTTCAAAATTCTTGCGATTAGGGGTGGCTTCCCAGGCTTTTCCAGTCGACTAAGTCCAAAAGGAACCATGACAACGATAGACAGCCAAAGAAGCAGCACGTATCGTGTTTGCCAATTCTGATAAGGTAAGGACAAGTAGGAGAGAGAGAGAGTACCTGCTTGTCGGTGCAGTCTTGAGTGTTTAACAGATCAAAGACAGGCTCAAGATCATCAACCGTATGTGGCATGAGACGAACCAAACTTTTGTAACCTCTGGTTTTTGCCATCAGGTGGATAACTTTAAAGACAAAATGCTGTCCATTTCGATTTGTTGAGAACTGGTTGGCCAACTGGATGCACTTGCTTAACATCTCAGGCAAAAACGGATCCAGGAGGTGAGGCTGTTCCTGATAAAGACTAAATATGACTGAAGAATTTGCTATCAGTCCAAATCTAGAAGGTACATGTCAGTTTTTCCAGAAGTTTTTCCTCTTTTCTTAAGTCCAAAACTGCAGGCTCAATCTCATCAAGGATTTGACAGAATTCATCAAAGTGCTTAAACTCATTAAATACCACGCACTGTTCACAGTTATCGGGATCCTCTATCTGTGAGTCCAGCATCGCTATTCAAAATGAGAATCGAGAAACAACAAAACGCAAATTAAAAAGGCCTCAGGATGAGGGCAACTGTGTAACATGCATAAGCACCCGCACTGAAAAAGATAGCCTCATTCTTATTGGTAGTAACCATGGCTGCATGCTAACGTTCTGGGTCCTGCCTACTTTCTTCAAGACCTTGAAGAGTCTACTTATTTTCTGGAAGAACCTGTCCGGCTAACAAGCCCAATCTTAGTATTCAACCAAAAAGCATAAATATTAAGTTACAGTGTATGACAGTCCATGACCGAAGGCCACTCAGTTTTCACAAACGGTGTGGTTAGCCGCAAAACAAAAGCAAAGTAGATGTATAAGAAAAACGACGCTAGTGTTGAGCATGAGATACTTGATATCAGGTAAGCAAAAGTAAGAGATCCGGGTTGATAATCTGAGGAAAAGGCAATGCTCACCGAATTGAGGGACTTGTTTGACTGACGTTTCGATGAGCTGGGGTAACTCTCCATTATCAAGGCGTCTAGTGCAAAAATCGATCACAATTTTTGATACACAGCCGAATTAGTTGGCCTTGGGCTGATCGATCCAAGGGGATTGTCCCACTCGTTGTAGCGATCAGCCAGGAGCTGTCTCACAGCGTCAATCGCTTAAGCGAAGATATATCAACAAACGATCGAGCGCCCGCGCTAGAGAGGGATCAGTCTCTACTGGGACGGCTGCGAGCGTGTCTGCCGACTCGGCGATCACTTCATGGTCGCTGGCAGCTCCAGAATTGTTCTCGTACGTGGTTGCACCAGCCATCAACATTGCCATTTCTTAGCCAGCTTCGTCAATAAGGTAGTCTGTGAGATTGCACATGAGGGGGTTGGCGCTGCAGAGTCCTGGAAGGCCAGGAACAGGGCATGCGTTCGTAACAGCCTGTGGTTTCTCAACGTCCACGGACGATGCGTTTTCTCCACCCTCGTGTTCAGATTCCTCCAACTCTCGTAAGGGCCAGAGGTTGTGTTTGGCGTCTAGTTCTGCACTCGAACGAGAAGCAAGCAAGAGGTCGTTGCTCATTACTGGTTTGTGGCGAGTTATAGGACTGACGGGTCGCACGCGCTGGCCAGTTCACAGTGGCGCAGATTTCGCCTGAGGCGCCTGAAGAGCACTGCCATTTGTCTCGAAGAAGTGGACAAGTGTTGAGGATCCAGCAAATTTTTTAATGTTCACATCGGGATTGTAAGTCGCCCAGGCGCGGCGTGTAAAACCGCGTTCAGGCATCAGATCGTAGATAGCCAAACGAAGAAAGCCGAGTTCAGATGAACAAAGCTCCTATAGTTCTTGTCTTGAAAAGGTTGAAGGCCTGTCATCTGCAGGCGAACCCAGAATCTCGGCCACGGGAGCTAGAGTTGACTCAACGTTGGAGACTCTGTCAGCAGCATTAGCAGGACTGCCCTCAGGTGTCGCAGCGGTAGTAGGATTATGAAAGTCGTCGTCATCCTCAGTGGTCACAAACGCCTCCATCGATTCGACACTTAACTGACTCTCCGGCTGCTCTTCCTTCACCTCGGCATCTGAGGGCGTCACATCTTTGGTGTTCTCGGAATTCAGAGTAGCTTCCGCCCTGTCCTCCGACTCTGGTTTGGCAACTTTGGAGATTCAGCGAAGGGGGCATCACTACTTTTCTTTTCATCCGGAACTTCCGTCTCATTATCGCCCATCCACACCCACTCCTGAGAGGCGGACAGTTGTTCGGGTTCGTCGACTTTCATAACAGCATCTTTTAATGCGAGCAAATCCTTGGAATGGAGGATGAAGAGTGAAACGACATCAAAAGATACCATGGATTCATCTGGCTCTGTTTTCTTATGAAACCCCCTGACTCTGCCACCGCGCAGTTTAATGGTCTGCGAAGGTACACAAAGCGAACATGCCTCTTAGGCCCATCGTCTCCCTATGTGGTACTCCTACATACGGTTTGGCAAAATGGATGTTTGCTCCTCTTAGGTTTCTGGCAGAATGATCGACAACAACAGTGGCTTCTGCTAATCAGTTCCCTGAACTTTAAAAACATCTGAGACTTGAGTCAGAGGAATCCATTGTATCTTTGATGTCGTTTTACTCTTCACCTCCATTTCACAACAACAACAACAAGCGATCTAGATTTTGAGACAACTCGTGTCTGATCGCTACAACGAGAGAGACACACCCCTGAAGACCGAACATCTCATGGAGCCCTAACGGTATTGCATAAAAACATATTTCACCTTTGGTGGAAAAATGTATGTACAAATCAAAGCACCCATATGGGCTCTCCATATCAGGGCTGATTGCTGAAGTGGTCCTTCAACGGATAGAACTGTTGATATCATCCAAAGTTCTGGGCTCGTTACGTCGATGACACCTTCGCCATTGTCAAATCGTCTGACGTGGAGCACCTTAAGGAGTTAATGAACTCGGTTGGCCCGAATATCCAATTCACGATGGAAGCCGAAACAAGCAACCAACTTTTCTTCCTCGATGACTTTGTGCGTCGGTGTGCAACTGCGAAATTACAAGCAACCGTTTTCAGAAAAGCCACCAACACAAGACAAATACTACACTTCAACAGCAATCACTCCCTATCTCACAAACGCAGCTGTGTTCGTACTCTATTCCAACTATTGAAACACACTGCAGCACACCAGCCGACAAAAGAGTTGAAATACAATACCTTCATGAAAACTTTCGAACCAATGGATACCCAAGCTACTTCATCAAGCAAAGCAAGCGCCGAGTGAACAGACGACGGCCACAAGAAGAACAACCCGAACTCTGGAGGGCTATTCCTTACATTAATGGAGTCTTCGAGGCGGTTTCACGACTGTTACAACCTGTCAGGGTAGGCATTGTCCATCGACCCCCGGCAACAATTCGTCGCTGTCTGATGAGACCCAGGGACATACTGCCCCCCACTGAAACCTCAGCAGTTGTCTATGACATACGTTGTAACGATGGAGACTGCAACTACGTTTGGCAAACCAGACGGAAATTGCAGATCCGCCTAAATGAGCACAAACTGGTGACTCGGAGACTAGATGCAAACTCACAGCTTGCGGCTCACATCGGGGAAACTGGTCACAGTTTTGATTTTTAAGGAGCAGCTGTCTTAGGCAAGGGCACTTCAAGGACTGAACGTCTAACACTTGAGGCTTGGTACACAGATGCCAACTCCCTCAACAGGCATCTAGCCCTTCCTTCGGCCTACAAAGTGCCAGGTTACTACATGCGCCGTAAAGAGGACAAGACAGTCATCCGGAGCCTAAGAATACGGAGCAAACACGGTCTGTCGACCAATTCACCCAAAAGGGGGGACGCAAACGCAACTAACCCCAATTGAGGTGACGACACACAATACGTAAGGCCACCAACACTCACAAGCGACGGCCAGCAGGCCAAGCCAACGAAAGAAGAAAAAAATCGGTCAGCCCAAGGCCAAATAATTCGGCTGTCTTTTCAAAATTCTGATAGATTTTTGCACTAAATGCTTTGCTAATGGAGAGCCGCCCAAGATCTTCGAAACGTCAGTCAAACAAGTCCCTCGATCCGGTGAGCACTTCCCTCGCCTCAGATACTAGATAAAATGGGCATATCCGACTTTTATGGCCACGTGGATATTTCTACCGAACTGCACAAGAATTTTCGATGTTACTTTTTCTACATGGGACGGTCGGCAACTCAATATCCCCAAATCAGAAGAGGCGATATTGCGTACAATCGACTCAGCTGGCAGAAGAAGTGGTGTTCTCGCCAGTCGCCTTAGTTGTTTGTCAGGACGCAGATTTTGTGCCTGCGCCCGAGATCTATGCAGTTACGATCAACCTATCAAGGCAGAAATATCGATCGGGGTCACAGTGTAAACTAATCGATGGCTGAGTCACCCGCATGCAGGCAGTGATCGACTGACGTGCTTGGCAGACCGAAGTCGGCATGGTAAAGCGATCGTGCCGACGACGATAACAGTGGGCCTTTACTGCAATCAACGTCTATATCAAAATTCTACGCAACAATAGATCTTACGTATAAATACATCGTCAGTCCAAATAAGTGTTAAGACAATCGCGAAAGCACATTAGACGGCAGATAAGAGTGGCGCGAATGTAGGTGTTATTTAAATACATACAATCAGAATTAATGGGGGGTGGAAAAAAGAGAAGTAGGACATGGTGGATACACGGAGGGGCAAGACATAAGGGGTCAACTTATGTTTTTCATTGAGTAGTGCCCGGTGGTTCCTCCAAGATTGTAGCCTTGACTAAATCGACGCCGACCACGCCCTTATTGTCGCCGCGAAGTATCCCGCCGGTCTTTCTATCGCATGAGGGTGCCTGGGATTTTTCACCATGTGGCGATTCCATCGGCTTACATGCAGTGGCGTTCGCGGCGTAATAGGACACAGCAGGCACACCAATTTCACGGATGATGCATGTGATGGCTAAGACTCTCGTCGGTACCGCGGGAGATTGGGGTAACCGTCTCATCTGGCAGTCGGACAATGGTGCCGGACAGCGATCCGACTGCGCCGCAGTCCAAGCCCAAATCCTGCGCTACGTGATTGTCAATAATTGTCAAACCCAGATGATCCAAACCAGTTCGTTAGACCCTCTGTGCCACGCATAGCGGTTTTTAGATGGCGGTGGAAACGCTCGACCATGCCGTTTGTTGATGGGTAATAGGCCTTTGCGAGAATGCATGTACGATATAGAAATGTGAGGAGGCTTCGTAAAAGGCGTGCTAGAGCCGGGCACATCCGCTAGTCGAGGCTCGAGGCCCCGAGGATGGCAATTTAACGTCTGACGAAGGCCTTAACGGTGGTATCTGTCTCCACATTAAAAAAGGGATGCACTCTGTCTATCGTGTATACCGGTCGGCGCAAGTAGGAGTGTGAGTGCAGCAAATGAATAGAGAAAAGGGGCCCACTGCATTCTGATGAACATGGCCAAACCGTGAGTTCAGTTTGGAGAAGGTACCTGGTGGTTACTTATTATGGCGTTTTGTAAACTCGAACCTTAAATGCGAGAGTAAAGACACTAGGGAAACCGTGGAAGGTGGAAGTGGATTTGGAGGACTAGGCCAATCCCTGCTTGTCCATGAACCGTTCAGTTGTTTGGATAATGTAACAACCGAAGGAGAGCTAGAAGCGAGTGCCAAGACATTCTGTACTTCTAAAAAAGATTGTTTATAGTCGTCGGTCGTCTATATCGGGGATTTGGAGGAAGAGATTTTGGCTTTCGCGGGGGGTCAAGACTAGTCGGGATAGGGTGGTCGCGAAACCTCTTGCGATGGTGGCAAATGTCTTGAGAAATTAGATAGAATCTGCTACCGTTTGTGCGTGAAATAGAAGAAAAGACTACCTAATGCATAAGGATCACAGATATTTGTGTAAATGAAGAAGAAGAGTCGAGCACCGGAACACGTTGTTTATTGTCTTCTTGGATGGTGTATGAAGTCTTCCCGTTTCCTACTCGTTTGGTTGACGATAATATAGCACTCATTAGAATGGGGCGGGAAATTTCACATTGATCAGTCTCTTACTTGCTGACAGAACTGCTTATAGAAATGGTCCAGCTACCTCCATTACTCCGTCCGGTTTGTTGTTTTCCTCACAGTCAGTAATATTTTTGGCTGATTATTCTGGAGGAAGGAAATTCAATTTACTAACATTCATCTGGAACTGATGACGTCTGAGACCATCGCGCAAATCGACTGAGGGAACTTCCCCCTGTTTAAGCACGGTCTTCTCAGTCTTTAACGAAATTATTTCATTCCCGAATTTTGAAAAACACGTATTAATATTGTTGTATGCAAATCTGGCTCTTGTTTCGATTTTAATAATTATCAGACATTTTTAAGACATATTACATCAAAAGACATTTTATGGTTGTATTTACGGATATTCACATGTCCCCTGTGTTTAAAGTTAGTCCGAACACAGCTTCCTGCCAGACTGGTTTGACGAAATATCTAAATTGATGTTACCGCATTCCTCTACTTCTCCTTCTAGTAAACATTAATCGGTTTTCGCCATTTATTTCAATTCTGACAAGGCCTGTGTGTATGTGCTTCGAAGACTTGTTCCAACAGGAGGTGGAAATACAGAGAATCGCCACTGTCCTCTATGCTAAGACAGGCCACACTACTTTAATTGGTAACAAGAGACTTCAGTTGTGTCTTCGCTTTAAATAAAAGTTCAAAAATGTGGCGTGCCATTCACGATACCTTCCGTCCTAAACGCCTAAGCAACAATGTAGTTCCTGGAGGAGAACCACTTACTCTCAGAACTTCAGCAGACCTTCAGAGAGAACCATTAATGCCTTTTCGGTTTATTATTCTCTATCGAGCAAATGGACTCGCGCAGTGGACGAGAATGGTAGAGTCGACGTCATCTACGCTGATTTCAGGGTGTTCGACAGCGTCCCACGCAAACGCCTAACCTACAAACTGTCTGAAATTGTAATAAGACAAAAACTGCTGACATTAAACTCAGATATTCCTACACGGGAATCACAAACCGTGTGTATTGATGACTCAAATTCACTCCCAACCTCCGTTGTAAATGGTCTCCCCCCACGGTTCAGTCGTAGAGTCTTTGCCATTCTTAGGCTACATGAACGACTGAATTCACGAGCGGGGATGCAGCGCCATCATGTTTACTGACGATGTTAAACTACGGAGAGCCATCAAATCTGACGCAGGCTGGTAAGCGCTTCAAGAGAGTTTCGAGCGAAGTAGCAGCTAGTCAGCTCGTTGGCTCCTAGATTTTAATGTGGGCTAATGTGTGGATCAGAAGCTCCAAATCTTAAGG